CCTATGCTTTTGGTGATTTATTCAAGAAATCATTGCCTAGAACAATGTCAAGGATCTTTTTTCCTATGCTTTCTTCTATGAGTTTTATAGTTTCAGGCTTTACATTTAAATCTTTGATTCCTTTCAAGTTACTTTTTATGAGTGGTATGAGATAGGAGTCCAATATCATTTTTTTACAAGTGGATATCCAGTTTTCCCAACACCATTTATTGAAGAGACTGTCCATTGTGTATTCTTGGCACAACTGTCGAAGATCAGTTGACCATAAATATGTTGGTTTATTTCTGGGCTCTCTGTTCTGTTCCATTGATCTATGTGCCTGTTTTGAGGCCAGTACCATACTGTTTTGATTACTATAGTGTTGTAATATAGCTTGAAATCAGGTATTGCAATGCCTCCAGCTTTGTTCTTCTTTCTCAGGGTTGCTTTGGCTATTTTGGGTCTTTTGTGGTCTCAAACAAATTTTAGGATAGTGTTTCCTATTTCTGTGAAAAATATCATTGGAAATTTGATCAGGATTGCATTGAATATGTAGATGACTTTGGGTAGTATGGACATTTTCACAATATTAATTCTTCTAGTTTAGAAGCACAGGATATCTTTCCATTTATTTGCATCTTCTTCAATGTCTTTCATCAATGTCTTATAGTTTTCAGTGTACTGGTCTTTTACCTCCTTGGTTAAATTTATTCTTAAGTATTTTATTGTTTTTAATGCTATTATAAATGGGATTGCTTTCTTAATTTATCTTTCAGATAATTTGTTATTAGTTTGTAGAAATGCAACTGAGGGAAGCAGAGGTTGCCCTGGTAATGGTGGGACAGAGCCCTAGTCTGCGATCAGGGGTAGGCTAAGAGCAGTGGTAGCACCTGTCTCATATGTAGTGAGGTGCTGTGGTGCCAGATCCCTGAGAGTGGGGCCCGACAACTGGGGCCCCTGAGGACAAGTCTCACTTCAGCAACAACTCCAGCCTGGGGAATAGATGCAGAGGTGGTCACTCCATGCTACTCTGTCAGCTGGGATCAGCATCAGTGAAGACTGTGGAAGACCTCTGTAGCAAAAGCTGCAAATGTCCACAATGGTGCAACTTCTGGGGTTCTCCTGATTTTCTTTTCCCTGTGTGGTGAAAAAGAGATTCAAAAGAGAATCAAAAGAGATTACTCCAGGTGTGGAGGAGATCCTGACTAGGGTATGGGATGACACAGGTAACATGCTGCCTGTGATTTTCCATGCGGCCATCCTCGATTTTTGAGCTCTTCAGGTTTTTGCTCTTTCTTCTTTGTTGTCTAGAGCTTTCCCTGAGCTCTTTTCTTGAGTTTGTAGTTGTTTATTTATCGTTCTTGTTTTTTGCGGGGGAGACGAGCTTTGGGACTCCTAGGCCTCCATCTTGCTGATGTCACCTTCTGCACAGTAATTTTGAATTTTCTTTATTTTAGAAAATCTGTTCTCCCTCAGGAGATATACAGTATCAGGGAAAATGCCATCCTTTTAATGAAGTAAATTTCTCCTATCTTTGGGTTGTTGTATGAACTGCATCAGCAACTCCACATCTGTGCCTCTCCTGCTTCCCCCTAAACATAAACACACTTGGGTCCTCAATGTGGGTGAACTAATGCTGTTACTGCCAACATCCTGAACTTAATCCCTAGATGGCCAATGAGCTCAACTTTGTCCCATAGCATACAAGTGCTTGTCTTTCAAAGGTATCTCATTACATTTTCAGAAGTTTGAGGGAAGAGGAATGAACAACCATCAATGTATATTGAGCTTTACCATTTACAAAGAAATTTTATGCTTATTATTTTATTTACTTATTTCTTCCAAAAGCTTTCTAAGATAGGGATTTATTATCCCCATTTTACATGTAAGGAAATAGGTCACACAATCAGTGGCAGAGCCAGGACTAAAACTCTTCATTTGACCCTAGTCCTGTGGACTTACCACTATTCCATCTTTGGGCTAGAAAAATGACTAAACTTACCTAACCTACAGATAGTGTATTAGTAATGGTATTTTCATCTTTTAATGATAGACTACTAATATCATATTTAATCCAACTAGTAATGACAGATACGAGGCAAAACAGGCATGGTTATTGCATCAATTTCATCAACTTAATAAACATGTGGCTTTGAACAATTCCTTTCCCTCCTTGGTATTTTAGGTGTTCCATTTGTAAAATGAAGGGAAATAATTATATGATCTCTAAGGCCTTCTGTAATTCTGATGCACCATGATTGTTTGTTGTTCCCCCAAACTATTGTGGATTGGCACAACTACAGACTCCAGCTTGTTGCAGTTCAGTTATTGAGTAAGAGAGAGTTCTGATTTGGGTTCCAGACTAAATCACCTTCTTGCTCCCCATACAACAATTTAGGGCACATCAGGAGAAAAATTTATCAGTAATCAAGTGCAAAATCATAAAATCTGTTTAATATTGTTTTGGAGTAATACTTAGCATTGATTTTTGACTTAAAAGTTCAAAGGTTATTAGCGAATAATGCTGCTAACATATCGACACAGAGTCCACAAGGAATGGAAATGCATTGCCATGAAAATACTTCAGTAAGAATTGTGGCATGGTGTATTGGCCATATATTCAAGAATTCTGGATACAAATTTTAGCTTTCCCATGAACACTCAGGGTGGTTAAAAAATTGTGTTCAGGAGGTTTAGAATTCTGATCTATAAAGCACCTGGAGTAGATAAACTGTGAAACTCTTTATAACTCGTCTATGACTCTGTGAGGATTCTCCTTTCTATCCCCTTCCAGTAATCCAAGAAATGGTTTTTCATTCAATTCATAGACCTATTTCTCAGAAATGGGATTAGGCTAACCAGGGTCAAGATTCCCCACAGTGAGAGTTAAGCAATAACGAGAAAGAGGTTTGCACAAGATCAGTTGAGCTTCCACAGCCTCTCTCCCCACAGCCAGTGTAAGGCGGATTCAGAATATTGATGGATTGAGCCAAGTGTGGGCTGTCACGTGACAGGGTGTCTGTAGTTGTCTCTTCAGCATATTGCTGTCAATTTGTTAGCTCTGCATTACAGTTCTTTCTTCCCCTTTCCCAGTGAAGTATCTATAGCACTTCTGGTACTCTGTCCACTAAACCAGCCAGTCGTCTCTACTCTTTACTGGATTTCAGCGCTCTCTGGCCAAAGCTTTCTTTATGGCTTTTGGCTGATGCGGGTAGCAATATTTTGTTACTACTATTTACCTTTGAATAATGCATTTGAGTGCATAAACTACTATTTTTAAAAAAGAGAAAACAAACTTTGAATACTTCTAAATATTAAGCAGTAAGCCTCGCAATTTTAATATACTATTTAATATTAATACAACATATCTGTGAGGTTATTTTAATATTAAATATGAGAAAGCTATTACTAGAGGTATTATGTGACTTGCCTAATGTCACACAACTAAGAAATTCAAATGCATATCTCCAGACTCTTTAAGCCTAGTTTTCTTTTTCCTTCTATGTGTATCTATTTTATTGTTTGATCCTCACAGCAACCCTGTAAGCAGAGGAAAGATTAGTCACCTTGTTTTACCTTTATTTTTCTGCACTATCACGACACGAGAACAGTAATAGGTGCATAGTTGATGCTCAATAAAGACGCATTGAATGATTAAGTGAATTGAATTAGGTTTATGAATTAAGGAAATTGGAGTTCAAATGAATTTTCCAAGGTTATCAACTAGAGTGTGGCAGTTTAGAGTGAGAATCATTCAATTCAGATGTTTCTACTATTCTGTAGATATTTCCCAGGGTCTTTTTTGGAAGAGGAACCTTTCCCACTTCTAGGGATAAATATTGGTGGGAAGATATATTGACTGTCTCTTAAGACTCCTTCTCAACTGTTATCCTATGTCTTTTATAGCCCTGATTAACTGGATGTTAGGAATAGTTATTATGTATCTGTTAATGGCGACCTTCTGGGTCCAAGGTAAAACTGGGGAAAACTGAGACCTAAGGAGATGCAGTACTTTAACTTACTTAATGGTCTATTCCAAATCATGAATACAGCTGGCACCAGGACCCAGGATTTCAGACTCCTAGTTTATTACTTAATTCTACACCATGCTTCTTGACCCTTGGTAACAGCCATTTCTTTTACTATATCCCTCTTTCCCCTAAACTACCCAGGGACTCTCTTTATTCCTAGTCCTGTCAAACCACACCGAGCTCCTCCTCACAAAGTGAAAGTTTCAGTCACAGCCTGGGCCTGATTAGGTGGTTAGTAAAGTGCCAAGTGCTTAGAACGGCTTTCAGAAGGTGTCCAAACTGGAGAAGCAAGAGGTAGCTGAGGGTCACTAGAAAATAAGAAACCTTGGATTATTGTCCTAGCTCTGCCTCTCATTAGCAATGTGACTGTGGGCAAATTTGGTGTCCTCTCTGAGCTTATTTCTCCAAGTATAAACTGAGAGAGATTAGGGAATCTCCTAAGAGTCCTGGTAGCTTTAACACTTAATGGACTGTTATTGTTTTGTTGCCCTATCTCCACAAGGTGGGAGAGGAAGTTAGACTAGACGCAATTCAAGGGTCTGTCTGGCTTTGTTGTTCTGTGAACCTATGTTTCTCTAGGCTGGAAGAGGAGTAAGTTCTCAGTAACAAAGTTTTCCTTTTATTATTTTGAGGCTTTCTCATTCATGCAGAAAAAATTTGATGAATGAACTTTTTGCCAGGTACTGTTCTCAGTGACATTCTGTCCAGGATTTCTGCTTGTGTTTCTCCACTGCTGGGTTGGGACTGGACCATGTATTCGGTAAAGCCTGTGCCAATGCTGGATAAGAGCTCAAGTAGAGTGACCACTGTCTGCCTCCTACACAGGTAGTCAAGACAAATAGGAAGTGCTTGCTGGTTTGGTTAAGAAACAGAGCTATTTAATTGGCCCAGTCTATTGATTGAAATCTTCTTGAATTAAAGTGTTTAAACATGTAATTGTTTCCTATTAAGAACTATTATTTTCCATCTCCTTTTCTTCCACTGCCTCAGACTCTCTCCTAAGCATGCCCCAGATATTCCTGACGACAGCACCGACAACATCACTATCTTCACCAGAATCTTGGATCGTCTTCTGGATGGCTATGACAACCGGCTGCGACCTGGACTTGGAGGTCAGTTACCATTTTAGGATCTTCTTCTTGGCTGTTGTCATCTAAAAAGATTCTTAAGGTGCCTTCAGTGGTCTGTTGGCCAATGAGGTCAGTGTAAAGCTGAGTTTCTTCCCTCTGAGCACCGGAAAATAGTTCTAATCCTTCATTTCAATGGTCAATCTCTCTGGTCTGGTTTGGAAGGTTCTGGATTTCACTTAGGTAAATGCATATGGGGTATTATACCACAACTTTTGACCAAGCCCTTTTGTGGTAACAAAATACCAATCCCTGCCTGGATGGCAGGTCTAGCCCAGGAACAGCTGGGAAACATGCCTTTGTTCTCAAAACCCTGAGCACATATCAGCCTGACATTCCAAAGAGGAGCGATGTGGTGGCTAGGTGGGATCTTAGTTGGCCATGGGTTTAGTATAATCAGCAATATGATCACAATGAGGTAAATGCATTATAATACATCATGGGCTGTATTGAAAGGGCAAGTATGCAAATGTATTTGTGTTTAGTTTTTTTCCTGAACCACCTGAGAATTAGTTGCAGATATCATATCCCTTTGTCTCTAAATACTTTGGTGTGTATTTCCTTAGAAGAAAATAAATTATTTATAAAATTACAATGCAATTATAAATTCAGAAAATGTAACCTGACATAATACTATTTTGTAATCTATAGTCAATATTCAATTTTTGCCAGTCATCCCAAAAATGTTCTTCATAGCATCTTTCCTTGGTATAGGATTCAATCCAGGATTATTCATTGTATTTATTTTTACATCTCTTTAGCCTATAATCTGGTATAGTTACTCAGCCTTTCTGTCTTTTATGACATTGATTTGATTTTCCTTATTCGTTTTTGGAAGTAATACCATAGGAGTTAATAGTGTCTTTCTCAGTGCATTACTCAAGAAGGGACATGATGTCTCTTTGCCCCATTATTGGTAATGTTAACTTCGATGTTCACTAGGTTAGTCCACTCTAAAATCACCATTTTTTCAGTTTATAGTTCATAAGTAACTTACGGGGAATTGCTTTGAGATTATGATGTTCCTCTTTCAGGTTGCACCTGATAGTTTTAGCAACTATTGATTATTCTTGCATGAAAATTAACTGTTATGGTTGCAAAATGGTGATTTTCTAAATCTACTATTCTTCTACATTTATTAAATGGCATTCTATTGTAAGACAAAACCTCCCCTCCTCTTTAATTAATTAGGTAACTATCAGCATGAACAGATGGATTCTTACTTTATTCAATGAATTGTAATTCATTAATATTATTATTCATTTTAATTAGACTTTTTGCTCATACTTTCCCATATTGGCTTAGTGGGAGCCTATTCAATCTGGCTTCTGTTTCTTCTTGATATGTTCTCCTCATTTTTTGAGCTCTTTTTAACTTTATGGCATAGCAGTATATTCCAGACTTATCTTGTAGTCTCCCTTATTCAGCTTTGGAATCAGTTATTTTTTCCAAGAAAAAATGGTATAATTTTGTGGGAAATTATATTTAAAATCCAACATCTTAGTGCTAGGTATTTTCATTGCTAGTGTGGTATTATTGCTCCTAGGACATTTCAGTGGGAAGAATTTGGAAAATAGCAAATTACATTTTATATATATATATATATATATATATATATACACACACACACTCACATATGTATTTATACTCACATATATGTAATATATACATACACCTGTATATATTCATATGTACATATGCATGTATGTATGTATATATACAAATATGTGTATAAATATATACATATACATATATGTGTATTTTTATGCATATGTAATGAGTTTATACTGATACCACTAATTCCAGTCCAACATAGTATTCTTCACTGATTTACTCAATTCTGTAATATACATAAAATAGTGTTGGGATTACTATATTGATACCACTACAATAAATTCACTTATTAAGTAAAGTTAAAGATATGTGTGCAATTTTTTGTTGTTGTTGTTGCTTGTTTTTAGATGAAGCCTATATGACACTTCTTTGGTTTAAATAATGGGTTGGAACAGGGCAGTATTAGAGGAAGAGAAGACCAATTATAAATTAATTGCAGTTGTCAAGGATGAAGGTGAAGACTGTGGGAATGTAGAGAATTTGCTGACTGATTAAATTATGGGGTTAGGGAAAGGAGAGGAGAAAAGAGTAACTTCTAGGTTACTTGCTTGGATGACTAGGTGGTAGTATTTTATAAAATGGAGAACATTGGCAGAGGAACAGTGCTATTTAGTTTTATTCTGTTTCTTTTGGAGTTGTGGTTAGAACAAAGAAGGTGGGGGAAGGAGGGGGAGTTAATTAGCTGTAGACATGTCAAGTTTGAGTACTTGTGAAAAATATGAGTGGAACCTTTTGCTTCTGGCTAACACGGAGTAACAGGGACCAGATTTACCTTCTTATCTTGAAAAACAACTAAGAAATGAACAAACTTGTAGCAGATTCAGAAATTTAACAAAGGCAGCACAGAACAGTGATCCTTGAAAGAAGGGAAACAAACAAAGTGAGCCCTGTGATTGTAGCAGCTTACTGCCTGGAGAGAATTTCAAGATGTGGGGAGGGAAAATCCAAATAGTGTCTGGTGGACTACCTCAGTTGATGAGAAATAGTGCGAATTTGGGAGACCAAAGTGGCTAAAACTTGTAGGACAGAGAAGAAGCAAGAATTGCATGGAAAAGAGAGAGCTGTACTGAGTGATTCAGAAATCTGTAGAGGATTTCCCTCAAGTTTTCAGGTAAGTAACGTTCAGCTCATACATATGAGGAAACAACATAAGGTTGAGGAAAGGACCACTGGAAAACAGCAGATGGAACCACAGAGTTTGGAATAATTTGTGTTCCCACCAACCAGAGTGGAAAAACTTGTAACAAATGGGGCATGGGGTAGGGTACTCAGAAGGATATGGCCTCGGTGGTGGGGCAAAAGAATCCCGAAATCAAAGCCTTCTCTGGTCCCACCTAACAAAGCTTTAAAGCAAGCTTCAAAAGGATCAAACTGTTTCCAAGTAACTTAACATTATTCCAGAACAGAGTTCAAGAATATTTACAGTGATACAAAAAATACCTGGTACATAACAAGGTGAAATTCACAATGGCTGGTATCTAGTAAAAAATTACCAGGCATGCAAAAAAGCAAGAAAATATAACCCAAAAAGGGCAGAAAAATCAATCAATAAAAACAGATGCATAAATGACACAGATGAAATAAGTAGTAGATTAATACATTAAACAGTTATTACATCTATATTCCATATGTTCAAAAGGTAGAGGAAAACATGAGCATGTTGAGTAGAGACATGTAACTTAAAAACAGAACCAAATTGAACTTCTAGATATGAAAAATACAATATCTGAGGTGAAATATACACCAGATAAGACTAACACCAGATTGGACACTGCAGAAGAAAAGATTAATAAGCCTGAAGACGTAGCAATAGTAACTAGCAAAAATAAAACATAGAGGAGAAAAGACTGAAAAAATGAATAGAACATCAGTGCACTGTGGGATGGCTTTGAGTAGCCTAATGTAAGTGTAATTGGATTATCTGAAGGGGGACAGAAAATGTATTTGAAAAAACTGGTCAAAAGTATTCTAAATTTGATGAAAATTGTAATCCCCCAAACCACGAAGCTCAACAAACAAGAAACATGAAGAAAATTACACCAAGAGAAATGATCAAATTACTTAGAACTAGTGATAAAGAGAAAATCCTAAAAGCAAACAGAGTAAAACAAAGCATTATGTATAGAGGGAAAATTCTAGAAAGATAGCAGGCTTCTTGTCAGAAACAAGCAAGCAAGAAGGTAGTTAGCAACAGCTTTAAAGTACTGAAAAAAACTGTCAATCTGGAATTCTGTAGCCAGAGATAATATATTTTAAAACATAGGCAAAATAAACACTTTTTCAGACTCATAGAAGCTGAAAAATTCATCACCAGCAGATTTGTACGGCAAGAAATGTTAAGGGAAATATGTCAGGCAGAAGGAAAACGATGCAAGATAGAAATATGGATCTATACAAAGGAAGGAAGAGCAACAGAAATGGAAAATATGTGGGTAAATATAAAATAGTTTCTGTTTTTATAAATCTCTTTGAATGATAAATGACTACTTAAAGCAAAAATAATAACAATCTATTGTGTGGCTTGTAATATATATATGAGGAAAATGTATAACAGCAATAGCACAAAAGTCAGGAGAAGATGAAATGGAAATATACTGTTGAAAGGTTTTTGTATTGCATGTGATGTGATATAATATCCTTGTAGGTAGATTGTGATAAATTAAGGATATGTGCTGTGGAACTTAAAGAAAAATTATAGCTAATAATGCAAGAAAGGTTATAAAAATGAAAAAAGTACTTGATAGGAAGGCAGTAAAAGAGGAAAAAGTAACAAAGAATAGATGAAACAAATAGAAAACCAATAGCAACCATATCAATCATCACATTAAATTTAATTAATCTAAACATTCATTTTAAAAGTCAGAGATGGTCAAATTGGATAAAAACAGCAGGACTCAAAATTGTTCCCGGAGAGAAACTCACTTTAAATATAAAGTCATAAACTTTAAAATTAATAGGATGGCAAAAGATGCACTACAGTCATCAAAAGAAAGTTGGGGCAGATATTTTAATATCGGAAAAAATAAATATAAGAGCCAAAAATATTACTAGGAATAAAGAGGGCCATTTCATTATGAAAGGGTCAATTCATCAAGAGTACATAATAATCCTAAATATTTATGCACCTAATCACGGAACTTCTAAACACACGAAGCAAAGACTGGGCACTGAAAGGAGAAAGGGATGAGCTATAATTATAGTTAGAGATTTCAATAGTCCTCTCTCAATAAGCAGTATAACAAGTAGACAGAAAATAAATAAAGGTATCAGAAACAGGAACCACACTATCAACCAACTTGACTTAATTGGCATTTATAGAACATTCTTTTTTTTTTTTTATTGAGTTAATGATAGGTTACAATCTTGTGTGA